GTTTTTTTTTTTTTTTTTTTTTTTTTTTTTTGTACTGGGGATCGAACTCATGACCTTGCACTTGCAAGGCAGGCATGGTGCTACTGAGCTAAATCCCTGGCCCTGCTATAGCAGTGTTCTTTGTAATAACCAAAAATGGAAATAACATAAATGTTCATCACATAAAATAAAATCTAGCATATCCATACAGTAGAATATTATTCAGCAATATAAAAATGCAAAGCTGATATATGTACAATATGAACCTTGAAACATGCTAAGAGAAAGAAGTCAATCAGAAAAGTCCATATACTGAATGATTCTATTTTATGAAATGTGCAGAATTGGCAAACCTAAAGAGACAGAAAGTAGATAAATGGCTGCCTGGATCTGGGAGGGGTGGTTGGGGAGAATAGGTGGTGGTTGCTAATAGATTTCTTTTTGGAGTGATTAAAATATTCTAAATAGATATATAGTTACACATATTGTGACTAGATTAAAAACCATTGAATTTTACACTTTAAATGGTTGAACTGTGTGATATGTGAATTGTATCTCAATAAAATGGTCACTTTTTAAAAGAATGGTTTCACAGCTACTTAAATGATGAAAGGAGAATTATATGGAGAGTCTGACAAGAGGTGAGCATCTCAACGTACATGAGCTCAATTTGCGAGAAATCTTAGAAACAGCAGCTAGATCATTAGAAAGGGATGTGAGAAATTTCTGTTAGGATTGACGAGGAAGGGTATGGAAATATGTAAGAAATAAGAGATCTGGGAGGTGGGGCTTTAGCTCAGTGGTGCCCCCACCTGCCTCATAAGCATTCCTTAGTGGTGGGGGGAGAGAGAGAGATCTGGTTGCCTTAGTGATTGGAAGTGGCAGGTATTCTCTGTCATTAATCAGAATTTGGCGACCCTGACATGATCTGCTAGATGATCTACTGTATAAGTGACTCAGTGACGGGGGAAATTAATATGCATTATTCTAGTTGGCATATATTTAGCAAAATAAAAATATGCTTTGTCTGTATCACCTTGTTTTTTAAAATTAGCGTATATTGTGTAGGGCTGGGGATTTAGCTCAGTAGTGCCGCCACCTGCCTCACAAGTGCAAGGACCCGAGTTCTATCCCCTGTACCAAAAACAAATTAATTAAATAACTAAATAAAGAAATAAATATAATTAATTTATATTGTCTCAAGAAAATAATGGAGAATTTTCAGGCATATCCAATGCCAAAAATACTTGTCATTCTGAAGTGAAAGCATTTGCTTACTTCACCAAATCATTATCATGTCAGTTTTCAGATGTTTTCAATTAAATACTAAAAGTATATGTATCTGAATGATGTAAGGTACATACAGTGCTAGAAAAATGTCATTTATCACTGGCGAGATAACAAAAGCTGTGTGCATTTTTCTTAAAAAGAAGAACTGTACATGAATACTGTGCAGCAATCATATCAGTCACAGAATACTTAATGTTGCATTTGTTGTGATTCCAGCTTCCACACAGAAAAAGTGTGTGTGCGTGTGTGCACATGTCCAAATAAAAGAATCCCTCCAGGGGCACTATGTTGTGATGTATCGATGTTCTTTTCCACTTTCACCCCTCCCCCACCCCCCGCTCACTTGGCTTATTAAAACTGGTTCACAGGCCCTTCTTTTTTCCCTTTGTGATTGCCTTCCCCTTGAATTTTCAGTGTAGAACTAAAAATTCAAGTCAGATTTCAGTTACTAGGATAATTTTCTTTGAATTTTACATTTTTCTAAGTAAATCCATAGATTTTTAATGAAGCTGGTATTCAATGGATTAGCTTCAAATTTAGCTGGAGTTAATTTCAGGATTGATTTATTAGCCCTTTGAAAGTATAAAAAGTAGTATCTGTAGTTCATGAAGACTGAAAAACATCATCACATTTTGTTTAGCATCTTTTTAAAACCAATTAAAAGCTTTTCTAAAATGGATTGAACAGGAGAAAATAAAACATGTTCCCTAGGTCTTTATTTCAATCAAGTTTCCCTGTGTTCTGCAGGAGAAGAGATCGAGGGGGGATAGAAAAATTGAAAAGGGCTGTCCCAGCAGGGAGCCAAGCTGGAGAAAAGGGCTTCTCTGAGAACTCAGCAGCAGCAGCTCAGAAAGCTCCCAGCCTGCTTCATCTACATGCAGAGTCACACAAGGCATGGGGACGCTCACCGGCACA